GATGTTAGCTCAGGGCTGATCTTCCTCACAAAAAAACAAAAAAAACAAAAACAAAGTCACTAAAAAAAAGCACCTTATAAAAGAGAGAGATCCCTAGCCCCTTCCACCATGTGAGGATACAGAGAGAAGGAGCTGTCTATGAACTAGAAAGTGGACCCTTACCAGACACCAAATTTGCTGGCACCTTGATCTTGGACTTCCCAGCCTCCAGAGAGGTGAGAAATGAATGTTTTTTGTTTAAGCCACCCAGTCTATGGTATTTTTGCTATAGCAGCCCAAGCTAAGAGATAGATTAGTCAGTTGGATTAGTAGTTAGTTGATTGGTTGTTTGGAAGGTTGGTTCACAAATTGGGGAGATGAAAAAAGCACGAGAGATTTCTCTGTGAGCAAGATCTGAGAGAAGAAAAGAAGGGAAAAAAAAACCTGAGAGAGAAGAAAAGAAGGGAAAACCTAAGAAAAGAAGAAAAAAACCTAAGAGAAAAGAAGGAAAAAAAAACCTAAAGGTTTGTACATTTGAGGAAAATTTTGAACACAGTGAAACTTCTTAAGACAAAAGTGGGGAAAAGAAGAAATGGGGAAAGTGGTATATGTACATTCCCCTGAGGGGAAAAAAAGATGATGGAGAAGAAAGTTCTGGCAATGATCTGTTACCACCTCAAGGAAACCCCCTCCGTGGCCGTGGCCTGTGGTAGCCATGGGGTAATGTTGAAAGACAGGGACCTGGCTAGAGCTCAGAAGCGCAGGAAGTGTTACCAGACTCTTGGATGCTACAGGAGAGTTAAGCAAGCCTAGCTCCAAAGGCTACAATTTGTGGAAGCCCTATATGTTTTTAAAAATGAAAACAAAAATTCCCATAGCAACATTTTCTAACCTCCCTCCAATTCATTCCCTGCTCAGCCCCTTCACTGCAACATCTCACAACCTTGACAAGCTGCGGAGGCATTTATCAGGAGAAGAGTCAGCTTGCCAGCATGACTTTGCCTCCAATATCCTCCTCTCAGAGCTTCTTAGCTTACCCTCCAGTGCTCACAAAGGTGTCACACAGCACCCTCCAGAGACCATCAGCAAGCTGCCAATGGATCTGGGTTCTGCTCCACATCTTGCCACCTAAGGGTCCTCCCCATATCCCCTTTATGGGGTTGACAGACTTAGCAAATTAAAAAAAAACAGCAAATAAACAACAAACAATTTTTCAGTATAACTATGTCCCAAATATTGCATGGGACATACATAGATTAAAAGACTTATTCCTGGTTTATTTGAAATTCAAACTTACCTGGGCATCCTATATTTTATCTAGCAACCATACCCCTTTACCCTAGTGATAATGATTCTCCAAAAAACAATGACAACCGTCAGCTTATTAATTGATCTGAAAAAAAATCAAAATTGTATAAATTTTACACATCACTTAGGAGAAAGATGAAGACAAACTATTATTTATAAAATATATTTAGGGGCCAGCCTGGTGGCATAGTGGTTAGGTTCACGCACTCCACTTCGGAGGCCCAGGGTTTGCGGGTTTGGATCCCAGGCATGGACCTACACACCACTCATCAAGCCATGCTGTGGTAGCATTCCGTATACAAAATAGAGGACAACGGGCACAGATGTTAGCTCAGGGCTAATCTTCCTCAGCAAAAAGAGGAAGATTGGCAGCAGATGTTAGCTAAGGGCTGATCTTCTGCACCAAATAAAGAAGAAAAGTATATATATATTTAAATGACATCAGTAATACATGGATAACATGGTGTCCTTGTAACCATTAAAAAAAATGATAAAGCAAAAGTTCTCCATTATTAAGTCACCAAATTCCTGTATACTTCCCAAAAATAACCACAGTTAAGAATGTTCTTCTATAGCTTTTCTATGCATTTGCATACATATATGTAAGTATAGAATATGTAGGTTTGTTTTGTGTGCTTCTGTGTATCATATTGTAAACACTGTTCCATCGTTCTGCAACTTGTTACATGACAGTACAAATAGATCTACCTCAATTTTTTTTAAAGTTGCATAATATTCCACAGAATAAACATCACCCTAGTTTAGCAATTCTCCAAGAGTGGTCTGAGAACCCCTTGGGGGACCCTTTCAGGGGGTCTATGAGGTCAAAATTATTTTCATAATAACAGTAAGGTGTTATTTGCCTTCTGCATCCTCACTTTCTCACAAATGTACAGTGGAGCATTCCAGAGGCTCCATGGCATGTGACTATGTCATTGTTCTGACAGCTTATGAAATGAGTATTTTTATTTCTTATGTTCTCCAAAATGTTCTAAAGAAGTGGATTTAGGGTATAAATATGTGCATTTTCTTTTTTTTTTATATAATTTTATTTATTTATTTATTT